AATTCATTTAAAATATCCTTACAAAAAAAGATGAGAAAGTAAAAAAAACAAGTTCAAATAAGATGTCACAAATGGAAAATAAGATTTTGGTGGAGCACAACCTTCGCTTGTTTAGCCTGAATGCCCTATTTTCCCTAGAATGATGGTTTCCCCGTTACATCAAGGTTTTTTACACTCACTTACTCCCCATTTCTCGATCATTTACATTGTCAGGACTCTTTTGTCAACGAGTATTTCTATCTCTTTCATCAATGGTATGCACTTGTCAGTGTGATGGCCCAATGCCCCTAGATGAAAATCGCAAGCACTATTCGGGTCATATCCATAAGCAGATGGACTAGTCTTCACTCTTAAAGGCCTTGGAGTGAGGTATTGATTCTTGATTAAAGGGGATAACAATTTAGAAAAGGGTACTTGAAAAACCTTGAGGGTTGTATTTTCCCAAGACATCTCCTTTGATTTTTTTATCGTCACTTCCCACTTTTATATTATTTTCTAGCATCAAAGAGGTCTCAAGAGTTGAGTCATTTATCTCTGCTTCACATACATCGCTTTCCTTGATTTTACTATTCTCTTTTTCAAAACTCTCTTCCGTATGTACTTCACTTGTTTCGACCCCGTCAACTCCATTCTGGGGATTGACTTTCAACTGTTTAACATCCACATCTATAACTCCACGAGCCAAAAGACCTCGGACTTGTCGTTTGAAGTTGATACAATTCTCGATAGAGTGTCTTCTGGCTCCAGCATGATATTCACAAGAAACTCTCTCATCATACCAACTCGGATAAGGGGGCAGCAAAGGCTTGGCCAGACGTGGGATAATCAGTTGGGCTTGGAGTAACTTGGGATATATCTGGCTATATGAAAGCTCTTTTGACCCCACTTTCTACTTGCCATTTTTATTATCATATTGAAGACCTTGTGACTGACCACTGAAACGTTCGCTTTGAAGATTTAACATTTGACCAGCATCCTGGGAGAGACATTTTGTTTGTAGATCTCCCTTCATCGACAAGTTTTGAGCTTCTGGGGAGTTTAGGTTTTCCATTTTCAAAGCATAACAACCCTTCTGTGATGAAGTTTTGAACTTTAAATCTCAGGATTGTACAATCTTCTCTAGAGTAGCTAAACTCTTGAAAAAGATAGCTGCATGATTTTTTGACACCTTGCCAGTCTGGACGCAAATAAGTATTGTACCTTGGAGTAAAAGACTTTAGGAGCCCACTTTCAAAGAGAAAGAGTAACAAGTCTGAATATGATATCGGAATTAGAATTAGAGGTATCATCTTCTTTTTCTTTCTATTCTTTTTGGCCTTCTTTATTATCACTTGAACCTCCTCTAGGTTTCTCTTCTTTGAGTCATGTTCAACTTCCTTATTAGAAGTTTCACCCTTAGCTTCTACTTTTCCCAGTATGATCTCTGTAGCATTTTCTGGAATCATACTTAATTTTTGGAGTCGACTTGAATTACCACATCCCCTAACAGGTTCTTGATCAGTTGCTGTCATCACATTGGCTGCACCACTAACATTCAAATTCTCACTCGAAGTCTTCATCTTTTCTTGCGTAATAGGGTCATCTAATGATTTCTCCCCATATATTAATGTAACAATCATGCTCATTAACTTAGACATATGTTCTTTGGATTCAACTTGGAACTTCCTTGCTTCATCAATCGTTTCTTGTTGAGTCTTTACAGTTGTTCTTGAATTCTCTCGATCTTACTAACTCGTGCTGAGATATCATTCATTGCTCTCTATCTTTCCAGAGACACGTCTCAGGGTAATTTCAAGTTGCTTTCAGAGCTTCTGTCACACTATCTTTCACGAGTTACTCTCACATTTTCATAATCGATGTATGTAAAAATGCTTAAATTAAAGTAATGTGAATCCAAATGTGGATGGCAAATGCAAATGCAAAAGGTGTTAATTCCAAAAGTGACCACTTATAGAACAACCATTCACTTAGACAACAAATATTCAGTAAGTACACCATATAGTCAAAATACAATTGTGATTCTTCATTTCTTTATTTTCTTGAATCGTACTCTTCATGGAATCTAACATTGCATCCCAAAGTTATCGTCGTGTTCCATAACTTTTGATGACGTCAGATATCCTTAAATTGAATCTTGAGATCTATATCTTTTCAATGCAAAATGGTTTTCATGTCTTTGTGAAGGGTCTTCTCGTCTTTGGTATTACTACATCTATCTCTTGAGTCAACATCTTCGCCTTTGTACCTTTAAAGGAATCTTCAGTCAGCTTCAGATTTCTTCATTCATCGGATGTCTTTCTTCATGGATCAGTCTTCAATCAGTTTCAAATTTATTCATTCATCGGATGTTCTCCTTCATGGATTGTTTGAACATCTCTGGATCTCCCGGTTTTGACTACATGGTGGAGAATTTCTTGCCCCAATATGGTCAGCCTTCTTGTTAGTCAATCACTTGCGAATTAACACTCCTTGATAACATGAGGATGCAAATGCAATAAAATCACAATAAAATAGACATAAAAAATGGGTTAGTGCACATAAGATAAACAACAAGATAGTAAATACCGTAAACATCAAATAAAACCTACCCTCACATGCTGACTACCCAATCATGCTTTAGTAGATCCTACCCAACATGATATCTACCCACATGCTTTGTCATTTACAAAACAAATCCTAACCACATGATATCTAATTCACATGCTTGTTCGAAAAATAAACCTAACCACATGATCTCTAGTTCGCATACTTTTTGCAAAAATAAATAAATTCGAGGAAAAGATTAGAATGAGTTTCCCCTCAGTGTCTGCGGACAGAGAATCAACGTAAAACGGGCAGAGGTTTAGGTATCACTAACAGGGTCCTCGAATTATCCTTTGCTGGTGCCCCCTTGGGCTTGCCAGACCCTCACCCATTATAGGCTTAAACAGATCAAGTTCAATTTGAGAGGATACATTTCCCCATGTCCATAAGAGGAAACTCAATGTTTCGCTCGTAAACATAAGGCATATACCCCAAAGGTTACTTGCTAAAGCCCATGCGGAGAAAAATAATTTTTCTCACGTAAGTGTAGCGTTCACCCCTACCTAACAGGACAGAGCACAGTTAGAAGGCTCTAAATATCGAAAGGTTATAGCGACAGTGAAGGGAAACTCATAATCCTTTGCCTCGATCCAAGAAAAACAACAAACTAAAGGTCAGAAAACTGAAACATGTAAATCACACGCTAGTACAACTATTTATTCGTTAACCAAATTAAAATGCAAACAAGAAATTTAAAACAAACAAGGGATCAAAAACCAAATTAGAACGAACTTATAACTTTCGTTTACAAAGACAATTAATTAATCGACTATCGGCCTGACTCTCTAAAAAAGATCCCCAGCGGAGTCGCCAAGCTGTCGAAAAGATTTTTTTTCATGGCGAGCGAGATTTTGAAAACCACACAAATTTTAATTTATTCTCTTTACGATTGAATTTTTAATTAAAAACAATGCGATTTATTAAACTTCTCGTCTCGAAAAATTGGAAATTCCTTTACGAATAAAAAACATGGTTCGAAGAGTCGCCACTAATCTTTGATTAGGGTGTGATTGGGCAGCAAAAAACGTTGTCATTTTAAATAAAAATTAATTTTAATTAAAGCAATAAATTGATGTATGCATTATCAAAATCTGGGTTCGAGAGTCGGTTACGCGCGGGGAAGGATTAGCACCCCCACGACGCCCTAAATCGGTACCTAGTCGATTAATTAATGTCTTTGCAATGAAATTTACAAGTTCGAGTTTAATTTGATTTATGATCCCTTCAAACAACAAAATGCGAATTTTATAATATCCAAAAGCAACGAAATAGGTTAAATTAAAATTACCAAGCCATTAGAAAGATAAAGAATATTCGATTATTTAAAAATATTGAGACCAGATCTTTAGGTCAGTTCTAACGACCTTTTCTCAATAAATTTAAATAGCCGAACATTTCTTTTTCTTTCACTCCCTAATTTTAAAGTGAATAATCAAAGTTTTTAGTGACAATGACGGGATACACTTGTAATTTAAAATCGTCAAGAACAACTTTCCTGTAAGTTAAGAAAAGCCATTTTGACAGTTTTAAATTAAAAGAGTATTACCCTTAATCCAATTATGTGGTTAGATCAAGTTATGCACGTGAAACTATCATGCAAAATACAACACTAGATTAATAAAATGATACAAAGAAAAACAAAACAAATGTAAATATAGAAAATAAATATACTATATAAAAAGCAACAAAATTTGGGATTCGAATTAAAAATATATAAATGACTTTAAAAAAATGCTAATACCCCACGAAATGAATTCATGAAAAAATTGAATGCAAAACTTAAAACCATTAATAAATATATATATACCTATGTAATAAATTAATCAATATTAATTCTAAAATTATACTTACTATAAATATAATTTTAAAAATATATATGTGAAACCTATTTTATTGAATACCAAAATAATACAACTACATGTGAATTATCATGAGAATGTAACAACATAATGACTGAAGATAAATGTAAAATAAATTAAAGACTAAAACCATGAATTAAATAAAAATCAAGTCATAAAACATAACTTCTTACATTTCGTATACTAAAATCAACTAAAATATAAATTACAACAGGAGCAGACCCAATGTACAAACAAATGAAAATTTAAAATAACTAGATTCAGGGACTAAAATGAAACATACAAACATTAGAGGTTAAATGTCTAAACAACAGAAATTAAATAAACAACAATTAGGACTAAAATCAAATATACGTAAAATAAAGAGACCAAATTAAAACATAAAAGTCTCAATTTTAGGACTAAAATGAGTTACAAATAAAACCTAAATGGCTCACACAACCAATAGGCCATGCGCAAAGTGGGTACCTCCTATCTTCGATGAATCAGCAGTTTTAATGCATGTGTATATACACTACTAAGGATAAGAAATAAACCCTAAAAATATCATCGAAACATTCATCAGCCGCAATTTCTAAACTCTTTTCTCTCTCCCTACATCTTTTCTTCTTCTCTGAACCCACACAGCCTTCTCTTCTCCCTATCTACTCTTCTTCTTCGATCGGAACCAAGGGCCACCATAACTTCAAAACCCAACAGAACAATGGTCACCATGGCCGACGCTTGGCCACTCTATTGGCTACCACCTCGGTGGCCACTCTGCACTCGACAACATCCACTCATAGATCCAATCAACCGGCACCGGCAATGGTCATAATCACTAAGGTAAACATACTATTTTTTAAGCTTTCTTTTTACTCTCGATCGAGACTCACTCCCTCAACACTCATGCAGCGCCATGTCCGATGCTTGACTACCACCCCGATGGACTCCATAAACGAACAAAAACAACCATTGTAAAGCCCAAAGATGCTACCTTTACTAACCTTTTTTGACAAAGACCTCAAGAGTCTCACACCCACGGCGACCACCAGATTCCGGTGGTTATCTTACTCTCCTATAAATACCGAAGCAATAGTCTAAATGACTAGTAAAGTCTCCCTTATCGACGAGAATCCGAATAGTTTACTGTCTCCAGGTAGTAAATTACCACCACCGTGAACCTAGAAATGAACTTAATAAAAACAGGGTACCTCCTTACTCGTGTTTTGATTTTTTTATTTCAACTCTTTCTCTTCATCCGTGGAAACCCGAACATCACAAGGTAAATCACCAAAACTCTTCTTCTCCTATTTTATCGAACTTATTTAACTTACTAAAACTAGCCCAACCCCTTACTTCGACAGTGTAGACTCGAACGGTTAAGAAGTAAAGTGAGATGAACTACAATTAAGGCAAACGTTTTAAGCTATCTTCTTTATGCTTTTGACTTGGGTTTGATTGTTTTAGCACATTGCTTTAAAAATAAAAAAATAACGAAAATGCTACTGCAATGAAGGATAAAGAAAAAACCTTAAGATGAATAGACTTGGATGTTAGGAAAAATCCCGTTTCTATTTCTTTCGAATGGAAGAATGGAATATCCCCTTTTACAGATCTATTGCTGGTTTTTTAATACTCTAATTACAAGAAATTTCCTTTTTTTTCTCTTTTCTTTTTTCCTGCTCTCCCTTTATTACTGTTTTTTTATTATCCCCTCTTTTCGAATGTCACCAAGTCTTCCCTTTATTTCCTTCATTCCATCGAAAGCCTCTTATCCTTTTTTTTTAATTTCCTTGCATTTGGTGAAATTTTGATGGGTTTAGATTAGGGTAGGTGGAATCTGTTTTTGATTTTGGCATGTGATTGTTGGATGATTTGTGCAGCTTCAATGGTGGCATGATTGACGGCCTCATTCACGCAGATGAGAGCAGTAGTGAAGCACACATATTTTTGGTGACTGGTGGGTCGGATCTTGTAACTGGATCTGGATCCGGGTCTTGGGCTTGAACCATCTTGTAATTGGGTTGATATTTGTAACTGAGTTTTGGGCCTGTAAAAGATAATATGTAACATTAATAATAGTTATAATAACAATAATAATGTATTACAATATAATAGTTATAATAATAATAATATAATTTTAATATAATATTTATAACCCGGACAAAAACGAGTGTCCACCATTTTTGGTTAAAGGAATAAAAGATTATTGGAATGTATATTTGACGAAATTGTCCTTATTATATATTTGGTTTTTAAAAAGTTGGAAAATATTTATATATTTTCTTTAAAAAAATTTAAATTCATAAAATTTATATATATTTTTTATAAAATTGAATATATAAAAAGGTTTAATGAAAGGGTAAAATTTTATTTTAACCCCTGAACTTCATATAAAATTTTAATTATAGATTTTTTTTGTAAATCTAAAATAGTTTAAGGTTAAATTTGTAATTTAACCTTAGTAGAAATTTTATCATTAAATGACAGAAGGATATTTTTGGAAAAAAAATTTAAGAGCATTTTAGTCCAAAAAGCCGGTAATCCAACAATACCTAAGGGAAGAGGGGTAATGACATTCCCGGTAATATACCTCAAAAATTCCTTATTGGTAATAAAATATTACCAGGAATGAGATTCCCGGCCAACCAAACGGAGGAATGTGGATTCTATTCCCATAGGAATCCCATATTCCCCGAACCAAACAACCCCTAAGAGTAATAATAGTGACCATTTAATTTGTTACGAGTAGACTACACTATTCCTCAATAAACTTTAGTCTCTCTTATTTTACTAATTGTACTTTCTATTTTTCTATTTTACTCACCGAACTTTCGAATTTATCTTGTTTTGATCACTATGGATTATTTTACTATTACTTTTATATGATGTGATATTTAATTATTATTTAATATAAAAAATTTCCAATAAATAATAAATAAATTATTATTATTAAATTTAAAAATACTTAAAATAATCACCATTCATCGTCGACCATCATCAACCTTTGAAAAAATAATAAAATTACTTTTATAATAAATAATAATAAAAAATATCGCGTCGTACAAAAATAGTAATAAAACAATTCAAAGTGATCAAAACAAAAGCAATTTGAAAGTTAAATGAGTAAATTAAAAAGTTGAAAGTATAATGTGTGAAATAGGAAATAGAATAAAGTTCAGTGAAGAATAATGTATTTTACCCATATGGTATAACTATTACATCATTTTCCTTGAAAAAAAGTTGGTGTCAATTAAAGTATTTTATTAGTGACCAAATAAAAAAATACACAATTATTCACTTTTATAATGAAAAAAATAATTGCCATCACGAATTACCAATTAAGACTAGTAACAAAGTGTTTTCAACACAATTATGAATAATAATAGGGACTACTTAATATGATGTCACTATTATAATTTTTCCCGTGAAAATATGTTGGCGCCAATTTGAGCAGTTTATTAGGTACTAATAGATAATGATAACTTGCTTTGACCACAATAAAATACTATTAGTGACGAGTTATTTGTATTGTACTTTAAAATTGTCACAATTATCACATAAAGAGTGATCAAATATAAATAAGTTACAATTTCTTATTTCAAAAGTGACAAAAATAATTTTTGTCACAAATAACCTACTTTCTGTGACATTTTTCAATATCTCAATTAAATGATCACTAAATATATACTTATTGTAATGAAAATTTTACTAATCGTGATAAAGGGAAGTAGATAAAGTTTTTTCAAAAGAGGATATAAAAGGTGTCATGGTTTTTCGTGCTTGTGAGTTAATAAAATTAAGAGTGAATTGTATGTTTAGTATCTAAACTATTAGTTTTAATCAATTTTAGTACTTAAACTTTCAATTTTCTTCAAAATCATATCTAAAGTGTAATTTTTGTTTCATATTAGTACCCCATTCAAAGTTTAACATTAAATTTTGAAAAAAATGAAAATTTAAGTGCTAAAACAGACAAAATTGATAGTTTAAGTAATAAATGGATAGTTTATCGTAAAATTAAAACCCATTTATTTAATATAATTATATTTTTTAATTTTATATAATACAATATTCTGATCATTATAAATATAAGCTTAAAATATATTTTAAAATTACTCGTCAATGAAATATCTCTATTATAAAAATAATTATATATATTTTCTTTTAACTTATAAAATATTATATTGTATGCAAGGACAAAGCCATAAATTTTAAATTACAATGCTATAATTTATAAAATTAAAATGTTCAAATAAAGTTATATAAATGTATGCATAATATTAATACTCGATAAATTAATGCATAATATAGATAAAATAAGGGTGTATATCATAACACCCAAATCTTGGGTTAGTAGTTTTGGGTTTACCCGAGAGGCATGTGAACGATATGGAGTTGCAATTAAAGTCGTTGGGCCTAGTTTGGACTTAATTGGGTTAGAATTGAGTCCAAGAAGTTATAAAAAGGAGATTTTTTGCATATAAGGGAAAAACGAAAGACTAAAAGTGCACTTAGCCCGTTGAAGAAAAACAAGATTGATATTAGGGGTTTTGCAGAGAGTGGGGCGTGGATTTTGGTGGCCAAAAGCCTTCTCCCTTTCTTTTCTTCTTTATTTCTTCAAGTCTCTATAACTCTAAGGTGGATGGTAAGAGTTCATTCCATCAACTTCTAATTCGCCCTTAGGGTTCCATACAACAATTTATTTTAAAAGAAATCAGTCTTTCATGATTGACTAGAGAAAATGACGGAGAATCAACCAAGTTCAAAGATGAGAGTTGTAGCTAGCTAAAGGAGCTTCATTTCAAGTTTCTAACAGAAAATTAGTGTATTTATAATATTTTGTGGTGTTAAGGCTTTTATAATCATGAAGACTTATTGATGATTTGTATTTAATAATTTTATGGTTTATGCTTAATTTCATTATTAGAAGTTTTTTATTATATAAATATATGTTTTTATGGTACTTTATGACTCTAAGTAACTTCCCTAAGCTTTAACACATAATTTATGATCAAACTAAGACCTTTATGATGATTTATGGTTTCTAAGCTTAATTAAGTCATTTTTGGGTTCAAATATCGATATTGGATGAACAATATCGAAACTGGTTGATCTAGGATGAATTCTGGGCATTTTATAAGGGGGTATTGATACTCCAAGGAGTAGTATTGATATTGAGGGTAAAGTATCGATATTGAGAGATTTTTTTGCATACAGAAGTTGTTTTTGGTACCAATACTCATAGAGGTATCAATACTTAACTAAGGTGTATCGATATTGTATATAGGGTATCAATACTACTCATTTTGGATGGTTATATTCAATTTTGTTAAAGCCCGTAAGATTTAAGGATGAATCGTACTAGTGGAACTTAGGCCATAAGGGATATAAATGGTAAAAGGTGTCTAAAAATATTCTTATAAGTGAGTTACAACTGAACTAACCATATTAGACGTAATACGTCCAAGTATATTCAATCGACCATGTGTCGAGTAACTAAGAATGAAGGATCATTGTAGAGGATGTATCGACAAGCGGTATGATGAGCTAATCAAATTTTGGAATAGAGGAATCGTGTACTACGATAACGTTAGTGATCGAGGCCATATAAGTCATCTATTTAATTAAAGGGTAAATTGATGGAACATGATGAGAGTGACTAAAGTATCGTTACTAAGAAATGAACTCGAGTCAAGTATCGGGTTAACAAATAATATGACAAGTGAACAACTAAAATAATAATTTTCGTAAAATCATGAAATATATAGAGAACTTTTTAGAGATTAAATGACCATAATATAGTAGCTTAATAGATTAATAGTAGTGACAGACTAATAAACTCTTCTATAACATTCTAGATGAGAGAACAAACGAGATAACAACTAGTGAGGGGATGAACTCACTTTAATGTGTCGAGCTATGCTTGTGTGTAGCTAGGCTACCTTAGTTGCCCTAATATGGAATTATAAGTGTTGAGTGGCCTTTGGACCCTCAATTATGCATATGTAGTTGCATCAGTCCAATACAACAATTATCCTTTAAGTTTGGCTTGATGTTATGTGATACCAAGCCAATGCTTCAACAAAGCGAGAATTTTATCGATGTTATGTGAGACCGAGTTCCTCCCTTAATGATTTACTTGATGCTATGTAAGACCAGGATATCATTCAACAACTTAGTGGGAATTTTATCGATGTTATATGATATTGAGATTTCCCCCAATAGTCTAGTATATGATGTTATGTGATATCAGATTCTAGCAGTGCGTCATGAGTCACATTCAGATGATGCACAATAGTGTGTCATGTATCGCATTTAGATAATGCAAAACAATATGCCATGTGTCATATTTAGAGTATGCATAACAATTACAATTAGTGTGGTTAGAGACAGAATAGAGGTATACCCATGGAAATACCCTTAGTAGATGATTAAGGGAAGCATGTGACTTTCATTTCAGTGATAGAACAATTGAACCTTAAGTAGGAAGCACTTGATTATGATCATGCATGTATCTACTGCTTATTACCATGTCTTTAGCATGATTATGTTTATGAGACTCATAATGTTCCTCTAGATTAGCGATTATATTGATGGGCTTTGTAAGCTCGATGTTAAGATGTTTTCTATTCCCAGTTATTAGTTTGATCCGTTCGAGGAGCACTATTGTAGTAGGACTTTCGACATCTCTTCCAGAGTATTGTATTGTAGCTTTAGTGTGTATTTTCATTCATATAACCCTTATTATTGTTTTCAAACTTATAACTCTGAGTTTGTATTATTTTGGTTTTAAACTATCTTTTATAGAGCTTCGGTTTATAAAAATGTTTTTATAAATGTCATGTATCTCTATTTTGATACCATTCAATATATTTTGAAATGAAAATGAACGTGTTTTGTATATCATGGGTTGCCTTAGTTGCCTGATGTGACACTTTAGACCAAATCAGATTTAGGGTGTTACATATATGAACATAACATTTGATGAATTGTTCATGAAACGTTCACATAACATTCATTTATGTTTTTTTATTAAGCTA